GAACCATTGTCAAATCGCAACCCCCCCCCCCCTCCCCCCACTTACCTGAATCGCGTTGTTCCTCTCCTCGCAGGATGGTGTTAATTTTTTTTATTTGGTGCAGCTGTACGTGGCTCCGCCCACACAGCCCTGTTATCCATTCACAGATCCTTTGACAGAATCCGTGAATGCGAAAATACAAGTCCCATAAGCCACCATGGCTTGTAGTTCTCAATGGAATACAAGAGCGCTGACATCACTGCACTTGTAGTCCATTCATGCTTTCTCCTGTCCCTGTTACTGAATGTCCATACCGGAATGGACATGGAAGGGAGGAAGTGTTAGAAAGCAGGCTCACTGTATGTGTTGATCATATGCTTACATAAATCTGGTTTCTCGGCCCCATCTCCTGATCCAGGCTTGTGGTGTGCTATCAGCAGACACTGATTGTCTTGTAGCTTTTGCTGTTGGATGAAGTTGCTGTGCCACATTTCAATCTCCTTGAGGTGACTTGGAATGTCTGCATTAAAAACGAGGATTGCCCCATGGGAATCTTTCATTATGGCAGGCCAGCAACTTTCAAACCTACCAAAAGAAGAAACAGAATAGGTTGGGCAATTATGACATAGTTTTGGTAAATCCAAAAGTGCATTGTACAAAGATTATAATACGTATAGTGAGCCCTATACTAAAAAGCAGAGCTTTACAAAATGACGCTAGACAAGTAGAACTTCCAGAAAACAGCTAAATACAAAGATGAAATGCAAATATGTCCAATGTTTTACCTGCCAAACGTTTTTTAAACTACTCTCATAAAGTTACTCTTGAGATTATTATTAGGCATGCACCGGAATCCGGAAATGGAGGAGGGGGGCGCTGCATGCATGCTCCCTGGTGACAAGGGAGAATAAAGTAGGCTTCCCAGCCAATCAGGAAGCCCGGCAGCGTGTAATGACTCGGCGCCCAGCTTCCTGATACCAGAAGTTCCGGTATCGGGCTAGGCATTGGGAGCATTTGGGCGAGTACTCGCCCAAATACTCGGTATTGAGACGGATACTAGTATTGGTATCGGTACATCCCTAATTATTATACAGGGCTCATATAGCACCAGCAGTTTGCACAGCACTTTACAATATAAAGAAGACATTACAGTTACAATACAAATCAAGACAAGATGGTAAGGAGGGCCCTGGCCATGAGGGCTTACAATCACTGTGCCTCAATTTCCTCTATGGACCCTGCTATTTCCTGCTCCAGCATTAGAGTTTCCTGTGCCACTGGATCAGGAGGTCTGATGATCTGCATTCATTGCTCAATGAGCAGACTCTGGGCAGAAGTGTGACATGGGAAGCTGCATCTGGAAGAGGCGGTGTCACTTGCCTGGCTACACAGTGTGTGAATCAGAAGACTAGCTGAACAGAATGATCCTTTGGCAAGAATACAGTTCATATATGTGCACTTTGCTCGTGCATTTGGCCATTTGCTTGGCGTTCCAATTTAATACATGACATAGACTGCTGAAATGTATTTAGTCTAAAAGCTTTTCACAGTGATAACAGATGTTTTCCGTGTTCCCCCCAGACATGGAAATTCCATATATGAAATGCACTGATTATTGCTTTAAGGTATTATTTTACATAGGAAAGAGTTGATATTTATTTACTTGTGATCGCCTCCGCAATCCCACAGTTCCACTTCACATCCAGGTCCTTTGTTCCCATTTACATTAGGGCACTCAAATTCTAATATCCTGTAAATAAAATAGACAGGTTATTATTGAGAAGGGAATGGAGATGATAAACATCGATGTGTGACTATCACTGAACACATTGGCGTTTATCCCGCAGCTGGTGGAGTTCCAGCTGAAGATGTCTCAGGCTATATATTTTATGAGGGGCTTCACTACGCACATCTGTGCATGTCTGTTAGACTGGACCTTTGTGGGAAACCAGAGTCATCATAAACAAGCAGAGGAAGTCATCTGCAAGAACACAGGACGTGTGCCCGAAATAAAACAACAACATACGTTTGCGATAAATGTACCTGAAACAAAACTATCTCAAGCAGAACCAAACCTCCGTCCCTCCAGCTGTGGTGGAACTACAAATCCCATGAGGCATTGCAAGATTCTCACAGCCACAGACATGACTCCCGAAGAGAGATGCATCATGGGATTTGTAGTTTCACCACAGCTGGAGGGCCGGAGGTTTGAGACCTCTGTACTAAACTAGGACAACCAAAAATGTTATTAGCTTCTTATTCTCAAGCTTCAAAAAAAAAAAAAATCTGATTGGTGGCTTTGGGTTAATAGAGACTGTTAAAGAAGAATTATGGGGAGAATTATTAACCCTTGCAGTGGGGCTACCCCCACACTGCAAGGGTTAAAGTGACATTAAAGTCTATCCCCGCCCCCACCAAATCCTGCTGTAGGGACTTACCGTATTTTTCCGTCTATAAGACGCCCCTATGTATAAGACGCCCTCAACTCTTCTTACCCAAAATTTCTAAATCAATATTTTAAATGGTATAATGCATTACACTTACCTCAATCACGTCATGCTCCAACATTACAGCTCCGGGCACTGGCTACACGCTCTCCCGAGCGCCGGCTGACGTCAGGTACAAAAGATTTATGATCGGATTACAGAGACAAGATAACAGTTTTCCTCCAATCATAAATCTTTTGTACCTGACGTCAGCTGTTGCTGGGGAGACAGCTGACCTCAGGTACAAAAGATTTATGATTGGAGGAAAACTTATGCTTGTCTCTGCAATCCATTTCACTCGTGAGGCTACGGTAGTTTGCAGTGGTATCGGCACTTTCGGCAGTTTCGCAACCTCGGTTCTCCTCTCGGCCCCCGTGTATAAGACGCCCCTCTATTTTTAGGTAAACATTTGAATGAAAAAGTAGCGTCTTATACACGGAAAAATACGGTACCTTAAATGATGCCTCTTGATCCGATCGTTGTGCCGGTCTCTGATCCAGCGCTGACAGCACACACAACGCAAGAGCAAAACTGTATATTGCGTATATACGCGCGTATATGCGTGCACTGTATGCAATCCCAGAATGATTCGTAATAGAAATTTTAATGAACTGTACTTGCGTACATGCGTATACGTGCGCAAAGACGCGTATATGCTGTAAAATACGCAGAAATTCGCTGCCCGGACGCATCTCGGTTCCATTCTGTTTTTGAGCATTTTTACTCTACGCAAATAAAAGGCTCCATACGCAGCTATGTGTATGGAGCCATTTATTTGCATATGCTGCGTATGGTACAATACGCGCGGCAGCGTGAATGCGGCCTTACCCTGTGTTTCTCCTCTTCTGTTGGCCAAAGAACTGTACTGCACATGCGCCGCCCCATTGATCCTTTGCGGACGCCCGAGAATCTTCAGATCTTCGGACGGGACCGCTCGGCGAAGACACAGGTAAGTTATTACCTTATTTGATAGCTTTTTTAGTACATGTTTTTGCATATATCTACTGCTTGCTAGCAGTAGATATATGCCAAAAAAAACAAAACGTAAGGTTTAAATGTCATTTTGGTCTAGGGAGGAAAATAACAAAGCTACTCACGCAATCTTCAGAGCCGGCCGGCTGTGACAGTGCTTCCTTCAGCCCGTCTCCTCCTGTGCTGCAGCAAATAGAATGTCCCTTGGCATCCTCACATCCTATACACTGTATAGAACATGATGATTTACAGGACTTTAGCTCGCTGCAGAGGAAGGGGAGAGAGGATGGAAGGACCGGACAAAGAGCAAGCTGGCTCAGAGGAACAGGTGAGTATCATTTATTATTTTCTTCCGCAGACCAAAAAGAGCAATTCATATTTACAGTGTGAGGTAGCCGCAATGCAAGGGTTAATAATTTCCCCCAGAGTTCTTCTTTAACCATCTTGTTACAGAATATTATGCAGTCACTTTTAAGCCACAGAACACAAATATTTTTCAATATGCTGTGTTTATGAAGGATAGCGCAATATGTGTGTTCTCAGGCAGACAATATCAGCATGGATAACCACTCCAAGGACTCCAAGGAAACAGGTAACGCACAAGTGAAGAACTACAGAAGATGTGACGTGTGTACCCTTTTCAAAGTCTTTACTACTGTCAACAGCATTGCACCTGCCTTGGCTACTTAAAAACGCCATTTTGGCTCTTTGACTAGACTGGCCGGTTGGGTTGTGTTATTGCACTGTTATTTGTGTTAGAAGAAATTCTTCAATGTCTCGAAAACATATCTATGACAGAATGACTTACTCAGGACACTGCAATGACAATCACTGTATTACCTTGAGGAAGGGACCCTGCGGGGCCCCGGAAACCTTTACAGTATTTTCCTTGTGACGTCTGAAGAGTCAAGTGGTAGGGACTCTCCTATTGTGGTACTGAATGGTGCCATGCCATCCGTTGCTGTCCCTACTAGCCCAGAACTATACTACAGAATGGAACACTGCCACCAAAAGCTGTCCTCGGTAAGACCCCTTTCACACGGGCTGATCCGGAGAGCATCTGAGCACAGATCCTCTCTTGATCACTACAGTACACATCCGTGTCCGTACAGTTTTTACCTTCCCCTTGTGATGGAGGAAAAAACTGCATTTACTGGACCCAATGCCAGTCTATGGGGAATCAGATGTAAATGGACATTTGTCCATTTACATTAGATCAACCCCGATCCAACACGATCTGGTCCGGCGAAATGGAACACCGTTTTTCGGGACCTGGCCGCAGGCAGGGGTATCCAGATGTAAATGGACGCTTGTCCATTTACACAAGGCTGCCCATAGAGTTGCACTGGGCATCCGATCGGGTCCGCCTGAAAAACTGACAGGCGGACCCGATTGGAGCGGCCGTGTGAAAGGGGCCTAACACTTATGAGCATATTTAAAGTATATGTAAACAGTAATAAATAACTTATTTTATTAACTTTCTATTGTTCTGTTAAACACCATCAAAAGCATTTTGTTATATCTAGGGATGCACTGATACTTTTCAGATACCAGTGCCGATGCTTGGCATTTTCATGACAACTACCAGGGTTGCAGGTATTGGTGCATCCCTAGAGTATAGTCATAATCCTGGTGTTACATGATTGTTATCATAACCAGAAAATAACTTTTTTGTTGGAATTCATCGATGTGTTGTTGATACAGTATGACACTTAATCCAGTATAACACTTTTGAAAGAAGGACTATAAATTGCTTTGAGACTTGCATGACTTATGAGAAGGACATTTGTCTGACGAAGAAGAATCAAATTCAGAAAGTGATAGATCTGATGATATTGAGATACAGGGTTGCAAACCTAGATCTACCACGGTCCCACCCCTGTCGCAGAATGCAAATGTTTTTGCCTTTGTAAGGAATGTTTGTGATGACATCAGGAAGTTGAACATCTGCAGGGCGAGAAATTATAAATTTGACAGTGCAACAAAGGCGGGCCTTGAAAGAATTACAGGGGAGGGGTGATGTAGTCATGAAACCTGCGGACAAAGGTGGGAACGTGGTAATCACCACAGGTGAAGCCTATGAAAAAATGGTGATGAAAATGTTGAATAATGGGAACTGGTATACGCGGATTACAGCAAAGGAAATATGGGGCATCAAATGGATCTTTTTAACTTAATTGGGGTATATTGTTTTGTTTGCCTGTTATTTTTGGTTTCTATATTATGTTTACTATTAAATACTGAACAATTTTAATCATTTTGAGTATATGGAAAGTTGTTTGCCCTGGGATCTCCATTTAGAGGGCATTTATTCCAAAACCTTTATTAACCCTTGCAGTGGGGCTACCCCCGCACTGCAAGAGTTAACTGCTCGTTTTATGTTTTGTCTAGGTGCTAAAAAAAGTTATAATTACTCAAACTGCTGAGCTGGCTCCCAGATTCTCCAGTTTCTAAAGCCTGTCTTCTCCTACGCTGCAGCATTGGAATATTCATCAGCGTCCTCACGTCTATACACTGTGTATAGAACGTGATGATTTACAGGACCTTAAGACTGCTGCAGAGGAGGGGGGAGAGAGGCTGGAAGGACCGGTCTATAAACACGCCGGCTCCTCCATTCAGGGGACTATAACTTTCATTTTAGAACCTAGACAAAAATGAGCAGTTAACCCTTGCAGAGCAGTGGTAGCCCCTCTGCCAGGGTTAATAAAAGTTTTGACCGGAGTTCTTCTTTAAAGTTTAATTTATGTGGGTTTGGATAAACTTTAATAGCTTTATGTAAGAACAATGGTGTGAACCTATTGTAAGGTATAATCTGTTTTCCTTTCTCCCTTGCTGAACACTGAACTCTGATTGGATGCCAGGTCTATGATACGCTCCAGTCTTCTCATAAGGCATAGCAGCAATCCAGATAAATACTTGCACGTTACCTTACACCTTGGGTTGGACTGTATTCGCCACCAATGTTCTCTGTGGCATCAGCTAAAAAGTTTGCCAAAACGCTCTTTCCACACTGAAAATATAAATAAATGATATAATGACACATGGTAAGAAATCTATAAAACAATTGGTACACTTTAGTTTAAAACATTTTTATCCCCACATTGAGAATAATAATATATTTAAAAAATAATAATCTATGTATAACATTTACATTGGGACATCTTGGTTACCTGTAATTATTCATATGTCACATCCAGAGGGCTGCTGGGGTGTCTCAAAATCACCATAGTATTCCAAGCCACACACATTCCTGTTCCGGCAGTGGTGGAGCGGCTCCCCCTCTGGTACACTGAACACAGGGAGTCACTCGTAGTCACCTCCTCCATTCAAAAACAATGTTGTATTCTTTTTAATTAATACAAGGTGTTCTCTGATTGGACAAGGGTAGATAGTGACATCATCACCCCTTCCTTTCTACATCATCCAATCAGAGAATCAGTATTAACTGGAAAGAATACAAAGCGTTTGCCTCCTTCCCATAGCACACCCTGTCATCACCAGGTTTTTTTTCAGGGCATCGCTGCAGAAGAATAGTGACTCTTCAGCAATCAGGGATACAGTACACACACACAAAGTGATATCATGGTGCAAGTTACAGGTTGTTGTTTTTTTGCTGTCTGTGTTCCATTATAGGCAGAGCTGGCAAAGTCCACAGGTAGGGGCTTATTCAATGCAAGCAAGAGGAAGCTGCTAAATGACTCCAATGATGGGGCATTTATTACTCCCCCTGACACCAATGATGGGGCATTTATTACTCCCAGTGACACTAATGATGAGCCATTTATTACTCCCACTGACACTAATAATGGGGCATTTATTACTCCCAGTGACACTAATGATGAGCCATTTATTACTCCCACTGACACTAATAATGGGGCATTTATTACTCCCAATGACACCAATGATGAGGCATTTATTAATCCCAATGGCACCAATAATGGGGCATGTATTAACTCCCACTGACACTGATGATGGGGCATTTATTACTCCCAGTGACACTAATAAGGGGGCATTTATTACTCCCACTGGCACCAATGATGAGGCATTTATTATTCCTATTGACAGCGATGATGGAACATTAATGACTCCCAGTGACACCAATAATAGGGCATTTATTACTCCCACTGACACCAATAATGGGGCATTTATTAACTCCCAGTGACACCGATGATGGGGTATTTATTTCTCCCAGTGACACCAATAATTGGGGCATGTATTACTCCCAATGGCACCAATAATGGGGTATGTATTACTCCCAATGGCACCAATGATGAGGCATTTATTACTCCTATTGACAGCAATGATGGAACATAAATTACTCCCAGTGACACCAATAATAGGGCATTTATTACTCCCACTGACACCAATAATGGGGCATGTATTAACTCCCACTGACACCGATGATGGGGTATATACTACTCCCAATGACACCAATGAGTGGGCATTCATTACTCCCAGTGACACCAATAATTTTGGCATGTATTACTCCCACTGACACCAATGATGGGGCATGTATTACTCCCACTGACACCAATGATGGGGCATTTATTACTCCCAATGACACCAATAATAGGGCATTAATAACTCCCAGTGACACCAATAATGGGGCATTGATTGCTCCCACTGACACCAATGACGGGGTATTTATTACTCCCAGTGACACCAATAATGGGGCATTTATTACTCCCAGTGACACCAATAATGGGGCATTTATTACTCCCAGTGACACCAATAATGGGGCATTGATTGCTCCCACTGACACTAATGATGGGGCATTGATTACTCCCGGTGAGCATTGACATAGGGGGATTTTTCTCACATTTATTCTGGACATTTTTCGCTACTACTGACATTGGGGTTTTCATTTTACTGTCATCAATGCTGTGGCATCTTTTCTTTACAATGATGAAGGGATATTGTTTACCCCCACCAGGCAATTTTTACTACCACAGAGCTCAGTGCATTTGTTTTGTATTGCTACTGGCCAGTCTAGCTCTCCTGCATTTTACTTCTACATTACAGAATAAACCTTGATGCGGAGCCATCCAGAATGAGCCCTTAGGTACCAGCACTGCTTCAGCAAGCACCATATACTCATCTATGACAAGCTCATTGTATCAGACACACATATAAAGAAAGTAAATCTGCAGTACAGAAAAAGGACTATGTTCCTGAATAACAGAGACACATCCTGGAACAATAACATGTCTCCCCAATCTGACCCCGGTGGGTGATCGTCCTCACCTCGCTGGGTCCCACCAGCAGCACTTTTGTCTTTAGCATTTTCCAGCAGACGCAGCAGACAATGGAAGGCGACTCCTTCCCTCCCCGAATAACGGTGTGTACAACCAGCGTCCTGACTACTGAATAAAGGACCCTCTATTCCAGGACCAAATCAACGGCCACATTGAGGTAGACGTGACTGAGGCCTAAACCTTCGGCAGCGTCCTCTCCGTTGCCTTAACAACAGCTTCTCGTTGCCGATTGGCTGCGGCACTTTGCTGCGCATGCCTACACTGAGTTTTCTTTTCTATCTCGCACATTCGACACACAGCTCAGTGAGGGAATTCAGCAGTGCTTCTGTCATTGAGTCCAGTCTGTGTTGTTATAAAAAGCTGTGGTTTTCAAAACACTAGACATGTTTATTTTATTTCTGTGTGAAATGTACTGGAGGCAGCAGGGAGCAGAGAAATAAATAATGCCATCCTTTATTTTGACTGTGTAATTTATACTTAAAATATGGTGGTTTAGGTGTTGCTAGCTAGCCAATTCAGATTGGGCTATCACTGTTACGCTTAGACAACACACGTTTTGCACAATGCTGTGCTGTTCTTAATGACACACCAATGTGCCTTGCCATAAGAGTTGCAGCGCACCACAACACGCAATGACCCAATACCCTGTGTTGACGTGTGCCGCATTCCAAAAAGAGTACATGCGCCTTTTTTGGTGCCATTCAGACTGGGTTCACATTGTTGTAAGCATTAGTGCAACACACAAAAATGCAAGTTTTGTACATTGGTTTGCTGCAGTGCCATTGATTCTAAATGTCAACCCAATACACTTTGCCAACAGATGTACAGTGTAGTACACCACAATGCATGGTAACACACTACTGTGCATTGTGGCGTGCTGCATTCTCAAAAAATAATACATGCACCTTAGTTGTTCCAATAGGATGTCCTTTAATTTGAGTGTTACTGCACCACTGTTTTGTGAGTGAACTCATCCTTAAAATGAATGGGCTGCCTTACTTTGTACACACTACAAGATACAAGCAGGGCCATCCCCTTAATGAGGCAGCCTGAGGCTTTTACCTCAGGCAGCATCTCTTTGGGTCACTTGGGGGGGGGGGGGGGAGGGGGGGGGGCGGGGAGGGGGAATCCCTGCA